ATGAATGTTTCTTTAGGAATTTAGTTTATGAATTATATCGGAATTTTTTATCAATCAACAAACATGGCCGCCATGCAGTTTTTGGCTTATTTCTCAGAAACTTAAGCATTTAGAGCAAATCTGACATGGGGTAAAAATGTTTAAAAGGTCAAGATCTATCAGCCCTGAAATTTTCAGACAAACCGAACAACCCATTGTTGGGTTGCTGTCACTAAATTGGTAGTTTTAAGGAAATTTTGCAGTTTTTGGTTGTTATCTTGAATATTATTGAAGATAAAGATAAACTGTAAACAGCAAAAATGTCCAACAAAGTAAGATCTACAAAAAAGTTTTATATGACCAAAATTGTCAATTGACCACTTAAGAAGTTATTGCCCTTTAAGGACAATTTAACACAAGTTGTTTGTTTTTAGCTCACCTGACCTGAAAGGTCAAGTGAGCTTTTCTCATCACTTTGCGTCCGTCGTCCGTCGTCCTGCGTCCGTCGTCCTGCGTCCGTCGTCCGTCGTCCGTCGTCCGTAAACTTTTACAAAAATCTTCTCCTCTGAAACTACTGGGCCAAATTAAACCAAACTTGGCCACAATCATCATTGGGGTATCTAGTTTTAAAAATGTGTGGCGTGACCCTGTCAACCAACCAAGATGGCCGCCACGGCTAAAAATAGAACATAGGGGTAAAATGCAGTTTTTAGCTTATAACTCAAAAACCAAAGCATTAAGAGCAAATCTGACATGGGGTAAAATTGTTCATCAGGTAAAGATCTATCTGCCCTGAAATTTTCAGATGAATCGGACAACCCGTTATTGGGTTGCTGCCCCTGAATTGGTAATTTTAAGGAAATTTTGCTGTTTTTGGTTATTATCTTGAATATTATTATAGATAGAGATAAACTGTAAACAGCAATAATGTTCAGCAAAGTAAGATTTACAAATAAGTCAATATAACCGAAATGGTCAGTTGACCCCTTTAGGAGAAATTGCCCTTTATAGTCAATTTTTAACCATTTTTCGTAAATCTTAGTAATCTTTTACAAAAATCTTCTCCTCTGAAACAACTGGGCCAAATTAAACCAAACTTGGCCACAATCATCATTGGGGTATCTAGTTTAAAAAATGTGTGGCGTGACCCGGCCAACCAACCAAGATGGCTGCCACAGCTAAAATAAAACATAGGGGTAAAATGCAGTTTTTGGCTTATAACTCAAAAACCAAAGCATTTAGAGCAAATCTGACATGAAGTAAAATTGTTTATCAGGTCAAGATCTATCTGCCCTAAAATTTTCAGATGAATCGAACAACCTGTTGTTGGGTTGCTGCCCCTGAATTGGTAATTTTAAGGAAATTTTGCTGTTTTTGGTTATTATCTTGAATATTATTATAGATAGAGATAAACTGTAAACAGCAATAATGTTCAGCAAAGTAAGATTAACAAATAAGTCAACATGACTGAAATGGTCAGTTGATCCCTTTAGGAGTTATTGCCCTTTATAGTCAATTTTTAACAATTTTTCGTAAATCTTAGTAATCTTTTACAAAAATCTTCTCCTCTGAAACTACGTGGCCAAATTAAACCAAACTTGGCAACAATCATCATTTGGTTATCTAGTTTTAAAAATGTGTGGCGTGACCTGGTCAACCAACCAAGATGGCTGCCACGGCTAAAAATAGAACATAGGGGTAAAATTCAGTTTTTGGCTTTTAACTCAAAAACCAAAGCATTTAAAGCAAATCTGACATGGGGTAAAATTGTTCATCAGGTCAAGATCTATCTGCCCTGAAATTTTCAGATGAATCGGACAACCCGTTATTGGGTTGCTGCCCCTGAATTGGTAATTTTAAGGAAATTTTGCTGTTTTTGGTTATTATCTTGAATATTATTATAGATAGAGATAAACTGTAAACAGCAATAATGTTCAGCAAAGTAAGATTTACAAATAAGTCAATATAACCGAAATGGTCAGTTGACCCCTTTAGGAGTAATTGCCCTTTATAGTCAATTTTTAACCATTTTTCGTAAATCTTAGTAATCTTTTACAAAAATCTTCTCCTCTGAAACAACTGGGCCAAATTAAACCAAACTTGGCCACAATCATCATTTGGTTATTTAGTTTTAAAAATGTGTGGCGTGACCTGGTCAACCAACCAAGATGGCCGCCACGGCTAAAAATAGAACATAGGGGTAAAATTCAGTTTTTGGCTTTTAACTCAAAAACCAAAGCATTTAAAGCAAATCTGACATGAAGTAAAATTGTTTATCAGGTCAAGATCTATCTGCCCTGAAATTTTCAGATGAATCGGACAACCCGTTGTTGAGTTGCTGCCCCAGAATTGGTAATTTTAAGGTAATTTTGCTGTTTTTGGTTATTATCTTGAATATTATTATAGATAGAGATAAACTGTAAAAAACGATAAATGTCGGCAAAGTAAGATCTACAAATAAGTCAACATGACCGAAATTGTCAGTTGACCCCTTTAGGAGTTATTGCCCTTTATAGTCAATTTTAACCATTTTTTCGTAAATCTTAGTAATCTTTTACAAAAATCTTCTCCTCTGAAACTACTGGGCCAAGTTAATTATAGATAGAGATAATTGTAAGCAGGAAAAATGTTCAGTAAATTAAGATGTACAAACACATCACCATCACCAAAACACAATTTTGTCATGAATCCATCTGCGTCCTTTGTTTAATATTCACATAGACCAAGGTGAGCGACACAGGCTCTTTAGAGCCTCTAGTTTAACTTTAAAAAAAAAAATGAATCTTGTATAAATTTTGTATTTTATTTCCTTGTACGTCAAGAAACATAGAAACTATGGCTAAAATGGAACATATGGGTAAAATGCATTCATTGGCTTTTGAAGAAAATATGACAGATACAATGAACATTTAAGTGGCATTTTTAAGCCACTCATTAATATATATTGAAAAGCAAAAATAATCATTGATGAAAGATTTAACCAAAATTTAAACAGGTGAGCGAATCAGGCTCTTGAGATCCTCTTGTTTAACAATATATTTCTTTGGTCACAATTGTGTTGCCTGTAGTTGGAAATCATTATGTTTGAGCTTTTTGAAAGACTACCAGGCATTAGAAATTGGAGAGAAGGGGGTGTATTCCAAACCATATACTATATATATTCCATGCAGCTTTCTTTTTAACTTTTAAAACATATATAAAATGATTGATTCTGTAGGATAATGTTTTTTTTTTTGCATTTTGTTCTAAGTATGTTGCCAACAAAACACCTTTTTATTAGCTTTTGTATACTGGTAATCATTTTCTGCAAAACAAATGTTTGTGTTTTGTATAACTTGCTTGTGCAATCTACATAAAGTTATCTCACTTTGTATCGTCTGACGTCTGACTTTATATAAACCAGTGGTCTAACTCTAACTCTAACACATGAACCGGCCATTTAAGGGTTTTTAAACAGGTTAAACTGGCCCATTTAATAAATATGAAAGACATAAATGTAGATTTTAGTAAAAACATGTAAAATCTGAAATGGGAGTTATATGTCTTGTATTTATAGTACAATTAAGTTAAACAGTAACTTCAAGATGAAGAACAGCAATAAAGGAGGTTTTTGTTTGCTCTATTTACATTTGTTTCACATTGTGAATCATGTCATTTTTTGTCATTTACAATGACACCATAATGTGCAGATGATATCTGCATTTTTCATTTCTAAACATGTCAATGTTCAAATCTAGAAAATGTTACTTAGGTGCCGCATTTGCTCACCTGGCTAACATGAATATGTGAAAACATAAGTCCTGTCCTGCTAATTATTTTGAACTGAATAATTTTCACGGTACAAAGAAGCAGGTATTATTATATGGTTACCTGTCATATTTAGTGTTCTGACTACTTTTCTGCATGTTCTGTGCTTGTTTTCTTCGTGGCATTCTGCATTGAAAATATAATTGTGTACCAGATGAAAAACCCTTCTATTGCATTATAAAATGTATGTGAATTATGTACGGCTCATAAAATTTTGTAACGTTTTGCTTATATCTTAAAAGCTAAAACAAAAGCTACACATAGGGTGGAAATTATTTGCTGGTCAAGTCCATCTTCAGTTTTAAGATTAATCTGACAATCCATGTTAGAGTTATTGTCCCTGACATGTCCTCTGTTACGAACTTTCTCATTGTTAGGTTACTATTAATTCAGAAATTATTTGGAAGTTTTTATTGATGCGACTGGGTGAATATCGCAATGAAAAGAATTCCCATTCTGATATTTAAATCGTATATCTGTATACAGCTTTTCTCGAAATCGCAATAATGCATCTCGAATCGTTTTCCATTCTCTAAATATCACAACAATAAATGCACGCAATAATTTCTAAATTACATTGAACACTGTTATAGATATAGAAATTCTACAAATAAGTTAACATGTTCGAAATTATCAATTGAAGGAGTTATGAAAAATAAAACAGATGAGGTATGACTGCCAACAAGACACTATACACCAAAGACTAAATGATGTAGATGTAACCAACTATAGGTATGTGATGACGTAAACAATCATGTAAATCCAATACCGTATACTAAGCCACGACATGAAAAAATGTAAAACAATTCAGACAACAGAAAACTGCCCGATTGATTTTCTATGTGATGGTTCCCAGACTCAAGTCAATCAGTACACATCCAATGGATTTATTGTTAAGACGATATAAACAGTATGACAAAACTTGAACTTGTACAATGCCAAAATATATGTTAAGGTTTCGTAACAGTATTTAAATAAATATCAATGATGGAATCACCAGCCCAGTAGTCGGCGCTTCTATATTGCCACGAGTTATCAGTGATATGGTTCCAAAAGTAAATGAACTGTTTACAAAACTTTGAAGTACTTTGGATTTTAAAATCCAGGAATAGATTACCTTAGTAGTAATTATTGAAGCCTTTCATAATTCCGGGTCCTCAATGCTCTTAAACTTTCAATATTTGGTATTTATTTTGGTGTAAAATAAATGACCTTTCAGAATAAATTTTCTCATATTAATAGCATCGATATGTTTACATGGATGATAATAAAGAAAGACGATATTTACCAAATTTTTTTGCTGAATTTTTATTTGAAAGATAGAAAAAGGTAAGGATATAATTTTCAGCGAAATAAGATTGAGAAATAAGTCATAGAATTTTCTTTCCTTGAATACTAGCTTCCTTGGTTACGGTGTAATGAATCCATTTGTCTTTTCTTCGAGATGATGACAATGGAAACAAATGCGTATTGTCCCCCGCGTAACGCGTTGCGGGGATCATGGAAATACCGGGCGTCCGTGTGTCCGTCCGTTCAACCCCCAAGGGTGACTGGGGAATAGAAGTATGGTCACCATTGGTCTTCCTCCGACCGGCAGTAAAACCCGTGCTAAAGTGGGGCGTCCGTTTGGCTGTGCGGGATGTACAAATTTGCAGCCACGTCCGGTCAGAATTGGGACGTTAAATCCGATGCCTCGTGTAAAGAGAGTGCCACGCTCTTTGCACGTTAAGAACCTTTGCAACAACTCTTTGAGGGGTCCGTAGGTGACCTGTTGCAAGGCTAAATTTCTGTCCCTATCCAATATACCCTCATTTCCCGTGGCAGTCTAAATTTCTCCGACCTTAATCCCTTAATCTATTACAGAACCTACCTATTGTATTTATTGTGAACTTGTTCTCGTCCTGAATATGCATGAAATATTTGCCACTGGACGTTAAACAACCAACAATCAATCAATCAATCCGTCCGTTCATCGGGTCTTGTTAGCGTTCTTGCCCCTTGGAAATATTAAATTTATGGAACATGGCCTTATTAGCGCTCTCACGGATACAATTCTTGCCAGATATTTATAAAACTTATACTATAGGTTAATATTAGCAATATCTCGAACAAGATCTATAATGGTGGCCGATCTACTTTTTTTAAAAGAGTTATGCCCCTTGGAAATATTAAATTTATGAAAAATAGCCTCGTTAGCGCTCTCACGGGTACAATTCTTGCCAGATTTTTATAAAACTTAATACTATAGGTTAATATCAGCAATATCTCGAACAAGTTCTATATTGGTGGACGACCGACTTTTTTAAAAGAGTTATGTCCCTTGGAAATATGAAATATGTGCAACACGGGGGACATTGGAACTCTTTTAAGATTAAGTGCACAACACGAGTTACGGGATAACCTTTATTAGGTTCGTTCGTTATTCCGAGCATTTCTAATCTACCTTTGTAGTAAAGCAAGAGAAATTACTTGTATGTCTACATAAACGATTACATGTAATTGTACTCTTAAACAAACTAACATGATATTTTCCCATACTTGTTAAAATGGAAGTTATATCATCAATAAAAATTAAATTTTTAACAAAATATACAAGATTTTATCAGCTTTTAGAGAACCCGGAAGACATATTCATCTCAGCATATAAAAGGAGAGCGAAGGGATATTTTCTTGGATAGAACAACCGACGACCACAATATAAGTTATCATGCTTTGACCCAAGTAACATGATTATTTAGACAGTGTCGAAAATAATCATGTTAGTTTGGTCAAAGCATGATAACATTTTTGTGCGGTTATGCTTACCGTATTGAGTATATAATTAATGAAACGTTAAACACACAAATGTCCTAGATTTCACTTCGCAAAGTTCACATGTTTACTCCGCCCACTGACCGCGTGCTTGACCCTCACTCTTAATGTGTATGCTCCGCCCACTGATCGTGTAACATGATGATCTATTGATTTTCCATGTAGCGCATAGTTGATGTGTTTTTATGCCAACTAAAGATGGAGCCTGGTAAAAGACGATTTGTCGATACAAGTGAAAATTAGTGCTGATAAAACAATAAAGCAGAATATAGCAGCAGAGACTATTTTCCGGGAGTATTTAAAAGAAAAGAAAATGGATCCAGGATTCGAACAATATGACACATTAAAACTAGATGAAGTGTTGGGCCATTTCTATATGGATGTGCGTAAAGCTGATGGGAATCGTTATAAAACAAATTCACTGCAGTGCTTGAGATACTCATTGAATGGATATTTAAAGGCTCCACCGTACAATAAAAAAATTGACATTGTGAATGATGAAAGATTTAGCACTTCCCAGAGAAAATTTCAAAGCGGCAATGGCAGAACTAAAACGCATGGGATTAGGAGACGTCGAGCATTATCCGTCTATTGACGAAGCTGACAGAAGGAAACTATATACCTCAATATATCTATCCCACCAAATACACCATTTGGACTTCAAAATAAAGTTCAATTCGATATTCTCTTGTATTTTTGTCGACGGGGAATGGAAAATATGCCACAAATGACAAAATCCACGTTTTCTGTCAAAAAAGATCCGAAGACGGGGCTAAAATATGTTGTTAAAACTTTAGATGAGCTGACAAAAAACCATCGCAGCAGTGACAAAGAAAAAACTTCAGGGATAATGCCAGAAAATTGCGGTTCTGAATTTTGCCCCGTGTCCTCCTTTGAAAAGTATGTAAATAAATTAAATCCGGAGTGTGCCAAACTATGGCGGAGACCGAAAGATCAGTTCTGTGAGGAGGATTCTACATGGTATTATAACATTCCTGTGGGCAAAAAAACGCTTGGCAATTTCATGTCATACCTGAGCAAGAAGTGCAACTTGTCTGAAATCTACACTAACCATTCTATCCGAGCTACCGGGGCTACTGTTCTAGCTAAAAATTCGTATTGCAATGCACAGATCATGGCCGTAGTCAGTAGCATCCCTTTCTTTGTACCAGCGGGTTGATAATGATAAGATACGTATGGGACAGAAGTTAACAGAAAGCATCACGGAACCTTCTAAAGCATTAGCTTTAACTGTTGGTGAAACATCATCAAATATTCGTGCTTTACCAAGCTCCAGTTGTACATTGCCTCCTAAAACTTTGCCAATTGGCCCTTCTGCTACATTTCATCCTCTACCGAATATTACAACAGGAAGCACCGCTGTCATTAGTACAGAACGTAGTTCCGTTACTTATAACGTCGGACAAAATACTCTATATACATCTGCTAAGGAACACAAAGCGGCGCCTTTACCATTTAGCGGACCCTTGCCATGCAATACTTTTAAGCCAAAACATTTAAGTACAACCCAACAAGGAAACAACAAACAGTCATTTAATGAATTATTGCAAGGTGTGAATCTAAATGAACTGTTCAATGATTTTACTGAACCTTCTGTAAATCGTACTACACTCTGTCCACAAGTTTTCAACAACTGTTCCATAACTATTGTTTATAAAAAAGAATGACTTCGTTTTTAGAACAAGAACGGATTTGATTGTTTTAGAACATATTTTTATTAAGAGTTTGGTTTAATGTGCTCGGGAGCATTTCACTTTATTTCATTCCATCTTATATTGTTTTTTTTTTAGGTTTTTGAGGGGTTTCTGGACGAAAAACATTTTTTTACATCTGTTATCACTTTTAATTTTGTATGATATATTACAGAGAAGTATAATAAATATATTTTATTTGAATTGCTCTAGATCGATAAAGCCCTGGATTGCGTCATGCATGTATGGATGTCAACAGTGGAATTTTCCATTGACCGGTTAACAGGTCAACTTGCCTTATGTAGGACAATACACTAAGGTTATCACAAGACAGCGTGTTCCTTACTTTTCTTTTTATAGCACACAGGATTTAAGGTCAACAGGTTGAGCACACATGATTAAAGGTCAACATGTTACAACGCGATTGCTGGTTGGCTACAGGCACATGTTTTGTAAGAAGTTTTCTTTTTGGGGGCAATTTGATTGGGTTGTGTACGGCGAACATGGTTATTTAACAGATGGCAAGGCAGCCAGTAGAATTCAAGTTTACAACTGCATAACCGTACAAAGGTAAATGAAATGTTATTCTTCACTATACAATTGATCATCGTTTTCTCAATTCTTTTATACAATTATTCAATTAAAGAATTTGACATTAGTTTAAGTTTTTACTATGTTTATTTGGTTTGTATTCCTTTATCCTATAAATGATTCAAGTTCCTTTGCATCAATTTCCGGCACATAGTTCATATCCGTCCAATACTTCACTTAGTTTAAAGTAAAACATAAAAGTGAAGAAATTTAAGTTTAAAATTGCAAAATTTTATGTCGCATAAAAAAGTTGCCAATATTTTCCATTATGTTAGAATATTATACAACTGCATTAAAATTCTGCTTTTTTTTCCCTAAAGATGAATAGTTTTACACAGATTGAGAGGTCTATAAGTCTACTGTTATTAATATTTATGTCGATAAACACAAAAAGTGACAATATTTCTTTTTTTATTAATATTCTTGTACATGTACTGGTCTAATAATTAAGTACTTTTCTACCTCAGAATGGATTGTTAGACATAAAAGTGAAGAAATTAAAGTTTAAAATTGTAAAATCAATATAAGGTGTCAGTATTTTAACTTTGGTAAGACTATTATGTTACCGCATTAAAATCCTGTTCTTTCGGTGCGTTATAACGAGGGACATTTTTACACAGATTGAGAGCTTTTTAAGTCTACGGTTAATTGTGTGTATAACGATAGAAATAAAAATTGCAAATATTTCTTTTATTAAATTTAAGCTTGTACCATTGTACTGGCGGGATGAATTCTCTTTTTATACCTTCGCATGGATAATTTGACATAAAAGAGAGGGAATTATTTCGACGATTTTTTTTTTATAAAAAAAAAACCAATTCCTTATGATTGCAGGGATGAACAGATTTGATAAGATTGACATTATACATCGTATAGATAAATATTGATCAACTAATTCATTTTTAAATTCAGAAAACCATGAACTACTGCAAACATTTTGAAATTAGTGTATTGTCTGAAAACAAAATATTATAGACCATTTGATGTCGTCTGTTTTATTTCAAATCTTGAAACATTGCCTATCTAAATCTATTAGGTTCGTTCGTTATTCCGAGCATTTCTAATCTACCTTTGTAGGAAAGCAAGAGAAATTACTTGTTTGTCTACATAAACGATTACATGTAATTGTACTCTTAAACAAAATAACATGATATTTTCCCATACTTGCTGAAATGGAAGTTATATCATCAATAAAAATTAAATTTTTAACAAAATATACAAGATTTTATCAGCTTGTAGAGAACCCGGAAGACATATTCTTCTCAGCATATAAAAGAAGAGCGAAAGGATATTTTCTTGGATAGGACAACCGACGACCACAAAGGTAAATGAAATGTTATTCTTCACTATACAACTGATCATCGTTTTCTCAATTCTTTTATACAATTATTCATAATTATTAAAGAATTTGACATTATTTTAAGTTTTTACTATGTTTATTTGGTTTGTATTCCTATATCCTATAAATGTTTCAAGTCTACCTGAAGTTCTTTTGCATCAATTTCCGGCACATAGTTCAATACTTCACTTAGTTTAAAGTAAGACATACAAGTGAAGAAATTTAAGTTTAAAATTGCAAAATTTTATGTCGCATAAAAAAAGGTGCTAATATTTTTCATTATTTTAGAATATTGTACAACTGCATTAAAATTCTGGTTTTTTTTTGTCCCTAAAGAAGAATAGTTTTACACAAATTTAGAGGTCTATAAGTCTACTGTTATTAATATTTATGTCGATAAACACAAAACGTGACAATATTTCTTTTTTTTATTAATATTCTTTTACATGTACTTGCCTGAAAATTAAGTACTTTTCTACCTCAGAATGGATTGTTAGACATAAAAGTGAAGAAATTAAAGTTTAAAATTGTAAAAATTTGTTGTTACATCAATATAAGGTGTCAATATTTTAACTTTTGTAAGAATATTATGTTACCGCATTAAAATCCTGTTCTTTCGGTGCATAATGAGGGACATTTTTACACAGATTAAGAGCTTTTTAAGTCTACGGTTAATTATGTGTATAACGATAAAAATAAAGATTGCAAATATTTCTCTTTTTATACTTTGGGATGGATTATGTGACATAAAAGAGAGGGAATTATTTCGACGATTTTTTTTTATAAAAAAAACAAATTCCTTATGTCTGCAGGGATGAACAGATTTGATAAGATTGACATTATACATCGTGTATATAAATATTGATCAACTAATTCATTTTTAAATTCAGAAAACCATGAACTACTGCAAACATTTTGAAATTAGTGTATTGTCTGAAAACAAAATATTATAGACCATTTGATGTCGTCTGTTTTATTTCAAGTCTTGAAACATTGCCTATCTAAATCAACCGTAATGAATATTGTTGTTCACATAAAACTTTTTTTAATGTTTTGCATTATTTACATATCCAAATAATTTCTGAAAATATATTTTTAGCGATACTTTAATTATTCAGCATTTGCAATTTATGAATAAGCCAGAAAAAAAAGATGTATTTATAATTTCCAAAACAAAAAGTTAACGGGAATAGTAAACGCGTTTTCTAAGTGCACGTACAGGTAATGATGTAAAATCTGTAGTAAACGCTCGTTTACTACTGACGAAACGTACACAGAGTGAACGGACGTTTACACGAGTAGACATTTGATTGATTGTTGGTTGCTTAACGTCCAGTGGCAAATATTTCATGCATATTCAGGACGAGAACAACTTAATAATCAAGAAATTTTGTCTGCCACGGGAAATGAGGGAATATTGGATAGGGACAGAAATTTAGCCTTGCAACAGGTCACCTACGGACCCCTCAAAGTGTTGTTGCAAGGGTTCTTAACGTGCAAAGAGCATGGCACTCTCTTAACACGAGGCATCGGATTTTACGTCCCCATTCTTACCGGACGTGTCTGCAAATTTGTTCATCCCGCACAGACAAGCGGACGCCCACTTTAACAAGGGTTTTACTGCCGGTCGGAGGAAGACCAATGGTGACCATACTTCTATTCCCTAGTCACCCTTGGGGGTAGTAGACATTTGAAACTTCCGTTTTGACCGCGTTAACGCAAATGCAAACATGCTACTTTAACAGGTTTTTTTTCATGTTTATGTTTTTTAGAAAAAAAAGACCTTTGCTAAGTACCATAACATTTAATAAGAATACAATAAGAATACATAAAATTAATATCTAGAAATATTAACAGAGTTATTTTTAATAATAAACAATAAATAAATAAAAGATTGTCCTATTAAATGTTAAAATATTTTTATTTTACCTTAATCATGGTGGGGATGTAAGTAAATTGTACTTGTGTGTTCATGTTTATCCAATGTTTATGATTGATTGATTGTTGGTTGCTTAACGTCCAGTGTCAAATATTTCATACATATTCAGGACGAGAACAAATTAACAATAAATCCAATAGGTAGGTTCTGTAATAGGGGCGTGAAATGTTCTTTGTGTTTTTCTGCTATTAAAGACGTCAAAGGTGAGATAACAGAATTACAGATTACTTAAAATATCTGTTTATAGTTGACTTGGAATGACAGTACTTCATTGAAAACAGTGTACGTTGTAATAACCATGTTTGTAGTCTTGTACTCTTGAAGTATTGAGCGATGATCAAATCAACTATTTTTTCGAATAACTATAACATTTAAGGGGCCTCCATTTTTTTATACTAAGTACTTAAGAGGCCGGTCAAATTTTTCTCATATGCCTACTTGCAATATACATGTAGTATTAGCACATATTAATGTTAGCCCAAGGAAATCCGATTTATTTATTTTTAACATGTAAATCTTGATTGGATTAATGATTAAGTATTTCTTATTATAAACATCTACCAGTATATTGTTTAAAACAAATATCTATAATTTTAATCTTCCATTTTTATCTTCTTGAAATGAAGAAATGGCAGTTTTCAATTCAGAAACTTCATAGTTTGTCATTCTCTCATCCTATTAAATGGCCATTTGTTTACAAATATGTTACTTTTGGTCGGTACATCTCGAGTTAATGAATGTGCCTTACATAATGTTTGTATTAAAAAAGCAATAATCATTTATCTATTTTGAAGGTGTTTATTTTGCAATTCGATGCATAAAGGCTTATGTTAATAAGATTTTTTTTGTTAATAGATGGTGAATTGCAAACTGACCATCTGTGTCGTAGCAATTTTCATTGGAGTGACGCATGCTCCTGTTCATGTTAGCTGTCATAAATTTCCACCACAACAGGGAAAAGGAACACCCGTTGGGATGAGACTATTGCCTATTCCTGTACCTAAACCGTTTCCTGTTAAAGGACGTTCTGATGAAAGACCGATCGTTTTATTGGTCCACGACGAAGGATTTGATAATGTATTTGGTGGAGGACTTGAATCATTAATACCACTGTTATTGATACTCCTCCTATGTGAGTACTACTTTAAAGAATATTGACTACCTACTTATTGCGTCACTACACTTCTAGTTGAGAAAAAATATGCAATTGTATTTTAACTTACGTTGAAACTCCCCATAAAAAGTTGACCATGAAAGTATGTTTTGTTTAAGAGATGGTAAATTTGCATACTGACTACGTTTTTACGTCTTGATTTCTTCATTAGAAGGTCATCAAACTGTCCATTATATTCTGACGTGATTATACAGTCACACTATCTTATTGACTTTCTTGGTTTCTATAGTACCTAATGAAGGTCATCAAACTGTCCATTGTATTCTGATATGATTATACAGTCACACTATAATTTATTGACTTTCTAACTCTTGGTTTCTTTAGTACCTGATGGTGATTATCAAGTTGTCCACTGTTTGTTCAGTTACAATATAAGTTACATAGAGGTGTCATCCTCTATCTATCAGGAAAATTATCAGGTTTTGGCAATAAAACAAGAAAATAAAAACAGTATTCATATTGCCATACAAAAACAGTGATAAGGTATCAATTTCATGAAATAAAAATATAAGCAACTAAGGCTTGATTCCAAATGCATAGCATTAAAACATTTTCGGAAAGTGTTACTTACTGTATTTGGCAAATTTGAGATGATGATAATATTACTGGTGTATCAAATCTAGTTGCTCTTTTTAGATCAAGATAAAAGATAAGTGAAACTTTATAAATTCTATGTAAAATAGATATATTCCTCTCATATCTTATACATATTTACACGCCAAATTTTACATGTATGGTAGATAGATTTATTTATGAACATGCAAATATATATGAGTGTTCGGGTGATTGAAAATCTATCTTAAGGTGGCACGGTAGTATTTCCTGGCCCACAGGGATAATGATAGCCTCTTTAGAATTTTCACCACTTTCTAGCACTGCCCAAAACTCTACATACACAGTTAACTGAAGTAATTTCATTATAATATGCAAACATTAATTTGAATATATATGATGACTTTTTTTGCTATGTATATAAACCTAGGCCACTAGTGCTTTTAAGTCTTTTATCATGCAGAAAATACAAAATTAAAAAAAATCTCAAAAATTCATTTTCACCTGTATGTAAAATTGTTTCATATTTTTCTACATCTGATTCATCACTCAGTTTGGGAAAGTATGTTCAAAAAGTGAAATTACAAAAAATACCGAACTCCAAGGAAAAATCAAAACGGAAAGTCCCTAATCAAATGGTAAAATTAAAAGCTTAAACACATCAAACTAATGGGTAACAACTGTCATATTCCTGACTTTATACATGCATTTTCTTATGTAGAAAACGGTTGATTAAACCTGGTTTTATAGCCAACTAAACCTATCACTTGTATGACATTCACATAAAATTCCATTATATTGACAACGATGTGTCACTGTATATTTTATCCAATCAAACTGTTCAGATACATAAGTATATACAAGTAGGGTAGACAAAATAGCAACCTTAATTCTGGAATTTAAATATCGCCACTTTAACCATTATTTTTATTATTGTTATCATTATTGATTGATTGATTGTTGGTTGCTTAACGTCCAGTGGAAAATATTTCATGCATATTCAGGACGAGAACAAGTTCACAATAAATACAATAGGTAGGTTCTGTAATAGATTAAGGGATTAAAGTCGGAGAAATTTAGACTGCCATGGGAAATGAGGGTATATTGGATAGGGACAGAAATTTAGCCTTGCAACAGGTCACCTACGGACCCCTCAAAGAGTTGTTGCAAGGGTTCTTAACGTGCAAAGAGCGTGGCACTCTCTTTACACGAGGCATCGGATTTAACGTCCCCATTCTGACCGGATGTGGCTGCAAATTTGTACATCCCGCACAGCCAAACGGACGCCCCACTTTAGCACGGGTTTTACTGCCGGTCTGAGGAAGACCAATGGTGACCATACTTCTATTCCCCAGTCACCCTTGGGGGTTGTTATCATTATCTACGAGAGTTTTGTAAATGCAAATAATATCAATTTAATCGAACATGTAAATCATATAAATAATTGCAAACACAGTAAGGATAACCAATTCGATAGTCCGATTAAATTAACAAAAGTATTTTGATATTTAAACATGCAAGAGATACCCTATTTATTCGTATCAGTAAAAGTTAATTCGTAATAAATGAAATTAACCGTGTCGGTACGCTTTAAACTGGTAATAAGACGGATCGAAAGTAGACGATAGAGGCCGCTGAATTTCTTGTATCACTTATTTCGAAAATGAAACCTCTTACCTAACCTTCTGCGGATCAAAATTGCTTAGTAAAAGGATTAATTATTAAACTCCCATTTAAATATTGCATTTGAGGAATGCTTAATCAAATTAACTTAATTTTCAATACAAAAATCAAGCAAACACATACTTTTACTCGATCTTAAAAGAACTGTGGAATAAAAAGCGTGTGCACTCTATTTTGACGATAAAAAAAATGGTCATACACTATAACAACAACAGCAAATGCTTTTAAAAACTTAATAACTGAGTGCAATAAACGACAACCAATGGACGTAGGCTTCTTGTTTTAGGCGTATACACTTATAGTGGGGTTAGACATGTTTCTATTCAATATTTTGATTATATTGCTACTACGAAAGCATTTTCCCTGAACTTTTCTATTTTTTTGGAAACATATACCCGATTATGCACAGATTTATTTAAATGTTAAAAAAGACAGTCGCATAATCAATATTAACCATCTACCTCCCATCCCTAATTTAAGGAAACAACCACTGTTCTTTCAAATCATTGTACATCTGGTGACACATGTTAATTGATTGATTGATTGATTGTTGGTTGCTTAACGTCCAGTGGCAAATATTTCATGCATATTCAGGACGAGAACAAATTAACAACAAATACAATAGGTAGGTCCTGCAATAAAGGCCGTCCGGGATGAAGGTCGGGGAAATTTGGACTGCCACGGGAAAATGAGGATAAATTGGAAAGGGACAGAAATTTAGCCTTGCAACAGGCCACCTTATGACCCCTCAAAGAGTTGTTGCAAGGGTTCTTAACGTGCAAAGAACGTGGCACTCTCTTTACACGAGGCATCGGATTTAACGTCCCCATTCTGACCGGACGTGACTGCGAATTTGTACATCCCGCACAGCCAAACGGACGCCCCACTTTAGCGAGGGTTTTACCGCCGGTCGGAGGAAGACCAATGGTGACCATATTTCTATTCCCCAGTCACCCTTGGGGGGTACACATGTTAATATTATTTCTACTACGACGAAAACAAATTAACAATTAAAGTTTACGGTAGGTTCTGCAAGGTATGTCTACCGGGATGCAGGCTGGGAAATTTGAAATACTATTATAAAATGAAGATATATTGTAAGGCGTCAGAAATGAAGTTCTAGCAAGGTATCGTGCACGTGGTGAGAGCGTGGTACTAATCCTACAATAACAATTAAATTTAACACAATACGTTTAGAAAAAAATCAATCATTGACAGGCAAAGATCTGACATCAACTACACATGTTTTAAATTTCCTATACAGATAAATATGATTTAAAAGTCCCTTTTGGGAGGGCACATTTCAATATTATCCAGTTATTGATTTTGAAATTTAAATGTTTTCCATATATACCAGTATGACATATAAAAGTTATCCCCCCAAAAAAAAAAAAATCTTCAGAAGTGTTTAATGTTCCGTCGCTATTCTTATTGCAATTAAAACATCTTGAATATGTTTTAACAATAATAATTGATATTTTATTGTAGTAATGGCATTCAGTCTTGGTACAACTATAAATTCAAGTACAACTACTGCTAAGGCTGCAACCGTAACATGTATGTTTTAATCTTTACAAGCCAATTTGTCTTCGGCTACCTTCTGTCATCACGTTGTCCTAGTCTATAAAGAGTAAGGCTAATTTCACTCAGTATTTGTTTCACTTTCAGGATCAAAATTCTAAGTTTTGCAAATCTCACAAGAAATTGAGAATAAGAGAGTCTACATCATATACTTAAAATTAAATTTACCAAATTAACATATTTCTGTTTAATCAAAAAAGTTATTCGATGGTACATGTTGCTATTGAAGGCAGATTATATAAAGTTCCTAAAAATTGGAGAATCATTTCTCAAAGTGCGGTTTTGTACATTTCTTCGGGCTTTTATAGTTTGAGTACCTGCTTAGAAATAAGCCAATTAATGTTAAAATTTCAAGGAACACAAATTTGACTTTGAATTTAAGTAAGAGTTTGAAAATATACCTTGTGTGAAATGAATTCAAGGGGAAATTGGTCCTTGTACTTTTTTGTCCTGAAAATCTGCTTAAATTTATGTTTAATGATTACTGAAACACAAATTTACCTTACTGATATAAAAAAAAACTATGCATTTTTCATGTCTCTTTTAAAAACATCGTGTTTGGCTTTTATATGTATCAGAATTCTGTGTTGTAAAATCTTGCATATAAGTTTTCTCTTCGGGATTTTTGACCGATCTGTTTAAAGAAATCTCTAACCCAAATTTTTGTTTGTAAATTTGTTTTTCGGGATTTTTCCCAAAAAAGGTAAAGACATCTATACAGCAAGTGTTTGTTTATAGATTTGATTTTCGATTTTTCATTGCCATAAATTCTTACATATAAGTCGGGTTTTCGGGATAATTCCCGAAATGTTTGAAGACTTGTGTGTTTAACATTTTGAATGCAGATTATTTTTTTCGGGACTTTTTTTCAAAATGTGTTGAGATCTGTTTGGCACATATCTTTGCTACCATATGTTTTAACTAATGTTGAAAATGATTTCGGGAATTTCCCCACTAAAAAGTTGTCACGTCTATATTTACCACATATTCTTTCAAACTTTCATGTATTTTGGTAATTTTCCCAGGACTAAATATAAATGTAATCAATTATAAAAATACAAGCATGGAATATTGTAAAAATTCTGTGTTTCTATATGAAATCTGCATTCATTTATGGTAAACATGAAAAAGCTTATAAAAAAGATTAAAATGTAAGAATGCAAAAATACCGATCTCCAAGAAAAATTTAAAACGGAAAATCCTTTATAAGACGGCAAAATCAAAAGCTGAAACACATCATACGAATGGAAAACGGCTGTCATACTCCTGACTTGGTACAGGATGGATTTTACTCTACAGTTCTCATTATTTAATTTTTATATATAAAAAGTAAAATAATTAAACTCAAGTTTCCAACTTACACACATAATAAAAGTCCTGTTATCCAGTTTGATAGGAAAATAAGTCCGAGGTAAATATTTAAAATACAAATATTTTTGGACATACTTTAAAAAAATATTGTACAAAATGTACACCTACAAAAATATTTAGATATTACAACAATTTCAGAAAATGAATCGTCCTAGTAAATACAGGACATGAACATTTTAAGTACGAAAAAAAATCCGTGGACTTTTATAACAAACACCTGACTAAAAATATTAGTGAGTTATCTAACTAAAGGCTATTCAATTTGCGTAATTTATGATTATAGATACAATGATTAGGCGTTGATTCATATCCATTGTGTCTCTAACATGAACGAATGTGCTGATGTCTTTTCACAGTTAAAGCTATTTCTTAATTAGAAGGCATTGTAAGTGAGTTTAAACAACCCTGTTATCATATTCAACAATGCATTAAGAAATCAAAGTTCACAATTAATTGGTTAGAGAAATACAAATATAACATAACACGTCTGTCCTTAAATTATTATGCATCTGAATAGTATCCGTAATTTACAAAATAAGACATATTCAAACTTTTTTCTAAGTATATATGATAAGTATGTTACCGACATTTCTAGCCAAAAACCTTATTCGAGACACATTACGATTAAACGGGATTTACTCGCCAAAGGATTTGCGAATAAGCATGTATAAAGATATGTTGAAACCATACAGTATTTATAAAACAAAAATGAACATATTGAACGTAATCATACAAAAACATCCACAATAACTTACAAAATAAGAAAAACGTAAAAACTAAACAATAGGGACAACAAAGAGAAAACAGGGATTCGAACCTAAACCGACAAGTCTCTACTTCTAACTTGACTCATGGATCTGAACCTGACGGCTATCAACTTATACTATACGATTGTATATTATATATATATATTAATGACAAGCCCTGTGTGTCCGTTGTACCAATATATATCATATGTTCATTTATAAATAAGTCTAAATTGAAAACAACGTTCAAACCTAAATTTTTATACAAGTGCATGGAAAACAAATTTCTTGGTAGAGGGGTCTGAATACAGCACAAACAACATTTTCCAAAAGACCAAAAAAGTGAAAAAGAATATTTTAACAAAACGCATTTGACTAGCAGGTCGAACAACGGATGTTCTTAAACCCTGCTGACTGCCATTAGCGATTGCCAAATAAACCGATCACCAGATGTAACAACATGGATTTTAACTATTAATTTAATACCAAACAGAAAACAATAAACCTGCCGAAAAGATGGTATACCGCAAACAAAAGGTGCATAAATTAGTACAATATATCCGATTCCGACAATTAAGTCTCTTTAGTGCTGTTAGGAATCGAAACGGTATTTGGAAGGCCATATAATTTACCTCAATTTAGGATAGACTCTTGAATTTAGAATTATATATATAAAATAGACATATAAATTGCAACCCATCGGTAGCCGCGAGGTTTCGTCGATGTGTTGATGTCAGTCGTACACAACAGATTTCAAGGAAGGTTAGCTTCCCAGTGAAGGTATATAAAAAAGTTAAAGGTACGTTTTTAAATTAATTTCATTAGTTAACAGAAATCAGTAAATTAGCCAATTTTAAACTTAATGGAATTAGGCACACAAAGGAAACAGTTAAATATGATTACGTGAGTCCATTGATTCTAGGAAAATAATCCACGGTAAATGAAGAAGCTGACGTCACGGCAATGGTTTAAAGCGTAGAAAAGCATATTAGAAATAAATCTAAACGACAATGTCGTCATCTAAAATGCTTCGTTTCTCTGTTTAATTAGTTCCAAGGAACATTTTGATATTTATCCTATTTATGTTAATATTCATTTTACTTTCATTGTCATTATGTAACACTGAATGTAATGCATAACGATGTGTATCACGATTAGGTGACCTTCGTTTCATTTTGTGGGGCAAAGAGTATGACGATTTTTTCGTGGACGGAATTTTCTAATTCACCTGTTGCTAGTCACACTTGTTCATTTCATTCGAAAATTTATTTATAAACACAAATATATCCTGGATTTTTTTGGGAAAATATGTATTTTCATACTGTCTTAGATTATTTATTTACAGTTCTTACCTGGTCAATACATTTATTATAAAAGTCTATTTCTCCTCTAGAAAATAAAATAGTCGTCCACTCATATTTTTAAAACACTAAAGGGAATAAAGAATCCACTACAATCCACGAATCACCAATTTGACATAAGCGGTCATCTCATTACCAGAATCCATAACTAACGAAACGACTTTAATTTTGAAATCAAAAGTATTCAAGTTTTGGTAATATCCTTTTGGCGTGACTCCGTATTGATACATCCCGCCATTATGAACATTTTTGTGTGTTCTTGTCTTTATCGTTTCCTTATGTGCTTTGCCTATAGAGTGTCTATGTGCCATTTTGTTTTTTATTTGTTGACATAGTTGTTTGTTTTTTGTAGTGTTTAAGATTATAACACAACGTTGACTGCTGTACCCCAATATTTGGCACTTACAAAGTGTATTTGTTTTGCGCATACATCGTTGTCAGTATAACGGAATTATATGCTACTGTCATACAAGTGAGAGGTTTAGCTTGCTATAAAGCCAGGTTTAATCCACCATTTTCTACATAAGAAAATACCAGTACCAAGTCAGAATATGACAGTCGTTTTCCATTCGTTTGATGTGTTAGAGCTTTTGATTTTGTCATTTGATAAGGGACTTTCCGTTTTGAATTTTTATTGGAGTTCTGTATTTTTGTTATTTTTTTTTTTTCATACACTGTCATTATTGAAATGATGTAAAATAGATTATCATTTTTTATATTTCAGCTGCTACTGCAGCAGATACCACTACTGCATCATCTACCACTGCTGCATCATCTACCACCGCTACATCAGCTACCACTGCTGCACCTACCACCGCTGCATCAGCTACCACTGCTCCAACTACCACAACTAGTGATTATGGCAAAAGACAATAAGATATTTTGTGTGTACCCAACGTTTGTTTCTTGTACTTAAATAATTATCAATCTGTAATCTTTCATCTTTTATCTGCACAAATTAAACGAGATGTGTGGAATTCCTAAAAGAGACAACATTATACGAGGTTTTGGTTGGGGTATACAGAAGAGACAACACACGCATACAGTGGATGCCCAGAAATAAAGAATAAAGAAAAAAGAAAGAATAAGGGTGCTGAAATATAAAGAATATATTATAGTGAACAAAACAACTGATAAAAGAAAAGCTGGCTTAAAAAATACATGAATAAAGAAATGAAGACCCCATCCAGGCTGACAAAAATGAAAACAAAAGATATCTATAGGGCTTTAAACAGACTTTAAAAATAGACATTCATCCACATAATATGTCAATCTTTAAATCTTCCCGAGTCTATACAAGTTTTGAATAAATTTTTCTCCCTTTTTTTTAATTTTTCGATGTTAACATTCAATTTTCAACTATCAACATTCGGTTTCGACATTTAATATTCGTTTTTGAACATCGAACAATTCATTTTAATATTCAGCATTACTTTTTCGACATTCAACATTTGAGCATTTAACATTAAACATTTCTTTTTTAACATTCAACATTCGATTTAAATATTCAGCATTCATTTTTTAGCATTCAATATTCGTTTTTCAAAATTCATCGTTCGATTTTAATATTCAATATTCGATTTTGAATTCATCATTCGAATTTGAACATTCAACATTCAATCAACATTCGATTTCAATAGTCAACATTTGCTTTTCTGTATTCAACATTCGATTTTAATATTCAGCATTTGTTAATCAACATTCAACATTCGAACTTTCAATATTCGTTTTTCAACATGCAACATTTGTTTACCAACATGCAACATTTGTTTTTCAACATGGAACATTCGGTTTTCAACATTTCAACATTCGATTTTAATATTCAAAATGCGTTTTTCAACACTCAACAGTCGATTTCAACATTCAACATTTAATTTTCGATTTCAAAATTTAATTTTCGCTTTCAACATTCAACACTCGTTTTTCAACATTCAATTTTTTTTTAATTAGATTTCCAACATTTAATATTCAATATTCAAATGCAGTTTTTAACAGTCGTTGTGCAACATTCAACTGTAATATTTAACATTCTTATATGATGAAGACAACACCTTTTAATCAGTTTAACTGAGGTCTGGAGTTGGCATGTCAGAAACTGCTAGTAGTCCTTTGTTAATTTATGTATTATTGTGATTTTGCTTAGTTTCATCTGTTACCTATTCTGATATCGGTCTCGGACCCCTTTTTAAACTGAGTTTTACTGTGCTGTGTGTTTGTTTATTCTACAAAGGCTAGAGGTATAGAAGGAGGGTTGAGATCTCACTAAACATGTGTATTCACGCCGCATTTTTGCGCCTGTCCCAAGTCAGGAGCCTCTTGCCTTTGTCTTGTGTGTTTACCCCCAAGGGTGACTGGGGAATAGAAGTATGGTCACCATTCGTCTTCCTCCGACCGGCAGTAAAACCCTTGCTAAAGTGGGGCGTCCGTTTGGCTGTGCGGGATGTACAAATTTGCAGCCACGTCCGGTCAGAATGGGGACCTTAAATCCGATGCCTCGTGTAAAGAGATTGCCACGCTCTTTGCACGTTAAGAACCCTTACAACAACTCTTTGAGGGGTCCGTAGGTGACCTGTTGCAAGGCTAAATTTCTGTCCGTATCCAATATACCCTCATTTCCCGTGGCAGTCTAAATTTCTCCGACCTTAATCCCGGACGCCCCTATTACAGAACCTACCTATTGTATTTATTGTTAACTTGTTTTCGTCCTCAATATGCATGAAATATTTGCCACTGGACGTTAAGCAACCAACAATCAATCAACCTTGTATGTTTTTTTTAATATTGGTTCATTTATATGTTTCGAAGTAAAGCGTGAACATGGAGTTTGTAGGCCTTTACTGGGTGTTACATTAAAGCGTGAACATGGAGTTTGTGGGCAGTTTCCGGGTGTTAAATTAAAGCGTGAACATGGAGTTTGTTGGCTTTTACCTGGTGGTAAATTAAAGCGTGAACATGGAGTTTGTGAGATGCAAACCGAGCATGGAGGTGATAAAAATGTGAAAAGAGAAAAGTCTCAGTGAAATTTCCATGTTCGTTCTGGCACCATTGCACATTTTAAATGAAATCAAAGTCTCTGAGGTAGCGAGAAAAGCATCTAATTAAGAGTACATACTATATGGCTTTACACAGAGCTGGAGAGAAATTAACATGCGCCTACTCTGTCGTGAAATAAGGAAAAGGGCCAGACTCTCAATTCCTTTTTGTTAGAATTGAGGTTTAGCGTGACCCAGTCGGAATTATATTAAAACACATGACAATCACAGTTATCCTAAGAGAAGCTTTATTATTTACAAAGACAATTTGCTAAATTATTTATAGATCTTTTGTCTTATTGATCATTTTGTTGTGTACAGTTTGTATCTGTCTATTATAGTTTTTGACATGATTACAGAAAACGGAAAAAAATGGGTAAAACAGTAATTTAAGACAATACCAAAAAGCATGTGATGAACAAGTACGATCAACCTTAAGAACGGCACACCATGAAGTGCTGATAATAATAGACGAGGTTTTTTTTCTATTTTTTTTTTTTTGTGATAATAGCCAACATGTTGTCGCCATGCATTTGTTTGTGTCTCGTTAACGTCTATTCCCATCTATTTTATTATTGGTATCGTTTAAGTACTGTGACACTGGCGTATATGACACACCTTTTCTGATCATGTCATTCCGTTATTGGCTCGTTTGGGTATATGCCACATCTTTTTGATTATGTGTGTCTTGGAAGTACTGTATTGATGTTGATGCCACATCGTTATTTTTTAATCGTTGGGGCACTCTGTCGTTGGAATATAGGCCACTTTCCTATTAGTTGTGTCGTAGGAGTATCGTCTCATTGAAGAATAAGCCACATCTTTTTGTTTAATTTGGGTCATTAGGGTACTTTTAAAATGAATAAAATGCCACAATTTTTTTTAATTGTGTCGTTGGGATTCTGTCATTGACGTATACAACAAATCCTATGTTAATATTTGTGTCGTTGGAGAAATGTCTCATTGACATGTATGACACATATTTTTATTATTTGTGTCGTTAGAGCACAGACTCATTGACGTAAATGAAATATCTTTAATAACTTATGTCGTTAGGGCACTGTCTGATTGTGGCATATTCCAAATCTTTTTTTATTATTTCGGTCGTTAGGATACCGTCTCATTGACGTATGTAGCTCAACTTTTTTATTATTTGTGTCGTTGTAGCCATTAACGTATATGACACATTTTCAATTCATTATTTGGGTTCTTTGGTTACTGTCTCGTTGGAGTATATGTAAGACTATTTTTATTATTTGTAACTGATTGATTGATTGTTGGTTGCTTAACTTCCAGTGGCAAATATTTCATGCATATTCAGGACGAGAACAAGTTCACAATAAATACAATAGGTAGGTTCTGTAATAGATTAAGGGATTATGGTCGGAGAAATTTAGACTGCCACGGGAAATGAGGGTATATTGGATAGGGACAGAAATTTAGCCTTGCAACAGGTCACCTACGGACCCCTCAAAGAGTTGTTGCAAGGGTTTTTAACGTGCAAAGAGCGTGGCACTCTCTTTACACGAGGCATCGGATTTAACGTCCCCATTCTGACCGGACGTGGCTGCAAATTTGTACATCCCGCACAGCCAAACGGACGCCCCACTTTAGCACGGGTTTTACTGCCGGTCGGAGGAAGACCAATGGTGACCATACTTCTATTCCCCAGTCACCCTTGGGGTATTATTTGTAACTGGGGTACTCACTTAATGACAAATGTTACATATTTGTTGATAAATCTTTTTTTTGTGGTTCTGTCTGAGTAACGTCTTTGGTCTATCATTTCTATTATTTGGGTCGTTAGGGGTCTTATTGAAGGATATGCCACATCTGTCTTATGATTCGTGGCGTAGTAGTAGTGTGTCATTGACGTGTACACATATTGTGTTAGTACTTGTTTCGTTGGGGTATGGTCTCATTGACGTATATGCCACATTTGTTTTTCTATTCCCGTCCTGTGTTCTGTTTTATTTACGGATATGCCACACATTTTTTTAATTTTTTGAGTCGTTAGATTTCTATCATATTGACGCATATGCCACATCTTTATTTTTTTTTAATTATTTGCGTCGTTGGAGTACTATGTTAATGACGTATGTGACAAATCTTTGTTTAATGTTTTGTGTCCTTGGAGTACTGCCTCATTGACGTATGTGCCACATTTTTGAAATTATTTGAGCCGTTAGTCTACTGTCCCGTTGACGTAAATACCACATATTTTTATAATTATTTGTATCGTTGGAGTATTTTGTCATTCACTTGAACTTTCTTTCCTTTGACTTCAGTTTGGTTAGGATGAGAAATATCAAATGACCTATTTTTTGTTTGGAGTTATAACTCATTGTACTGACCTTTTATTTGTGGCTTGAGAGATTTATGATGATCGATTGGTTGTTGGTTGCTTAGCGTCCAGCGACAAATTATAATTGTGCAGTGGCAAAGATCTCTGTTCTATTTTTTTTAAACATCCGTATAGAATCTATTTATTTCGGGACATATTAATACTAAGGACATACATATGACTAAAACTAAAAGAATAATCTTTATTGCAAAAAGTAAAACCCGGTGGGAATAAAATACAAACAACCCCAAAGGGTGACTGGGGAATAGAAGTATGGTCACCATTGGTCTTCCTCCGACCGGCAGTAAAACCCTTGCTAAAGTGGGGCGTCCGTTTGGCTGTGCGGGATGTACAAATTTGCAGCCACGTCCGTTCAGAATGGGAACGTAAAATCTGATGCCTCGGGTAAAGAGAGTGTCACGCTTTTAGCACGTTAAGAACCCTTGCAACAACTCTTTGTGGGGTCCGTAGGTGACCTGTTGCAAGGCTAAATTTCTGTCCCTATTCAATATACCCTCATTTCCCGTGGCAGTCTAAATTTCTCCGACCTTAATCCCGGAAGCCCCTATTACAGAACCTACCTATTGTATTTATTGTTAATTTGTTCTCGTCCTGAATATGCATGAAATATTTGCCACTGGACGTTAAGCAACCAACAATCAATCAATCAATCAAATACAAACATGACATGTGCATAAGAAAAATACAACACATAAAAATAGTTCTAAACGAGTCAAGTTAGGGATATATATACATAAAACAACTTTTGAAAATATTTGGAGTTTTTGCACCAACTATGAATACCAAACCAGCTAGTGGAATTAAACAAAAATCAGTACATCTCTGGCCTAAGCATCTTTCTAGAACAAATTGTTAAGGTTGGTTTGTTGTCGCACAACAAAAGTTAATCGTCCATAATACAATGCATACACCAA